TTTCTTTGTTCAGATAATTTTTATATGATTTTCGTTAAATTCTTCATTTTTTAAAATCATTTTCTGTCTGATTTCCATTTAGCTTTTTAGCGATAATATAATATTTATATTGTTCTTGAGGTTTTAGCTGTAAGATATTTCATATTTAGACGCGCATGCGCAGCGGAAGATCAATTTCTCGCAGTCTTGAAGTGACCAAACATACCAGGCAATTTATACGTTATTTTGTATAGAAGCTATGAATGGTTTCTTGTAGACATGGGTCATGCCATGAGCGTAAGATTCCACTGTTAAGATGAAAAACTTTGAAAGCAATCATTTCTTGCTAAGTATAAAATTGTACGAGTGGCTACTGAAAAGTACTCAACCCAACCAACAAGTCCTTCTCCGAAAAAGAAAATACTTGTAATGACAAAAGTACGCCGGTGTTGGCTTTAAGAAAGCTTTATTCAACTGAGAATACAAGGTTCGCGTACAGTGTCCTTTTATAGTCCCAGTAAATAGGAATGGCTCTCTCTCTCTCAAAGAGGAGAGTAACGAAACAAGAAAACAAGAAGAGACCACTCTTGATTATGGATAACAATACTGTGGTTTTGTGATTTGTTTACATTTCTGGAAACGTGTCAAGTTTAAAAATCTTTAGATATGTGCCCGTGCATTATAATTGGATTTCTAAGCGTAACTTCGATGTGGCGCAAAGCTGAATGTATCGTGTACCTAGTGAGGCTAACACTCACTGCTCAGTTGTAATTGTTCTAGAGAGACAACCTAACTAACGTTTTCTCCACGCCGAAGTTCCCACGTCCCATTATATTATATATCATTGTATAATGATAATTTTTAATTTATTGATGTATAAAGTAGTCAGTTCCATCCATAATTTTTAGTTTGAAGATAATCCACACACGCTTTGGTCCTATAGAAACTCGTATTTATCAAAAGAAAAATGCTAATAGTAAAATCAGCCGTTTCCTTATAAGGAAACATTTGATATTCAGTGCTACTGTCATTTGAAATTTATAAAATCTAAGTATTTTTTCAAATGTTATCGCTCTTTTCAGTATTAATGGTGGTTTCCTTCCTAAGCGGTATGGGACATCAGAATTGATATTTTAAATTCGAGTTAAATGTGATACCCATTTTAGTTGTTGCTACCATTGCAAGCACTCAACTAATGGTGTTTCTTTTATTTAATACATTTCTTTGTGATTCTGTAGCGCCAGTCCACGAGGCTTGAAGAAGGATAGTCTTTGCCAAGACTTACTGGCTTCATTTGCTCGAAGCCATTGATCTGAGAAATTGGTTGTATACAGCTGACAGCCTAGACATTAGGTTTGGCACAATTCTTGACATCCATAGATTCGGCCTGTCATTTCTTACTGTTTGTACACCTGATGACCTTTGAAATATTTCCGTACTTTGGTTTTCAGCAGACATCTATGACATTGTGAACCAATAGAGTTCTTCTACCAGATCTAATTAGTGGAGCCAAGGCTTGGACAATGGTTTCTAATGAATGAGAAGTGAAAATCTCTATTGACGTGGACACATTTTGCTGTGAGGTCTACATAGCAGGTCTACCGTTTTCTATTGGGGAGGTATGAAATTTCGTGGAGATGTTTGATGATATATGTACCATTATTACACTCCTTACCAGGGTAAAAAGACAAACTGGGTTTTGAAGAGTCGACTTTCGTCGAACGGTGAAAGACTAATTTATACAATATTCGTCAGTATTATCACCGTTGACAGAGATGAGGTACCGTAATTATTTACAATATTTACCTTCTTCAGACTGTTTTCCTCATCTTTGTTGTCATATTCACGGTGTTTCAGCTGTTGCACGCTCAGGCCTTCTTCAGGTGATTAAAATTTCGAGCGGAGGTAGATTGTTCTAATTTCCACGTACCATGCCTCTTTTGAATATCTCACCTCTGAAAGTTTTTGTTCACGTCTGCTGTGGACAAATATTGAGCTCACAATTTTTAGGGTCAATTCACTGAATTACTCCCACCGACGCTTTTATCCACAGGGTCATGTGTTCTTGGGGACGAGGCATGGCACGTGGAACTAGAACAATCTACCCCGGCGGACAAAATAAAGGGTTCGAAACGAAATTTCAATCACCTGAAGAAGGACGATTATAACCACGGCCGAAACATCGTCAATATGACAACAGTCCGAACAATGTGTAAATATTGACAGTTTTATCATTCAGTTTTATTTGAACATTGGGCAATTATGTGTGGCTCGCAATATTTTATGACAAAAAGAAAAGAAAATTAATGGCGTACATACAATATATTTTAACTTTTTCAAATTTTCAAAATATTTAACGTTATTTGAAGCTAAGGAGATACATTTTAATTTTAAACAAATTTGCGATTGGATTCAATAAAATAAGGCTTATGTCGAAACACTGGTTTTCCTACGATCACCAAAGTTAAGTAATGTGGAGCCTGGTTAGTACCAAGCTGGGTGACCTCTTGGGAATACCAGGCATGATAAGCTTGAATGTGCGGATGGTGCAACAAATAAGAGCAAGGAATTAGAAAATGTGCGATCCGAGTTCCAATTCCAGTTGTGTTCGTTATATTCACTTACGCTCAAATACCTTGAGATGTGAATTCACTGAATCGTCCCCCTAGCTAAGGGTTAATTAGTATAACTTGTATCAGTAAATCATTATCTCCAAAAATTCTTGGAATCTAAAATGTTTCTGCGTTTAAATAATACGCAAGAGGTTGATAAGCCGTAAAAAAGCAAATCAATCACATTTACAATCATTTACATTATTCGGGCGGTTGCCCCCATTTTTATTGGTATATTCACCACATTTCGGCCTTTGTACGTTCGGGATTTCTTCAGGTGATTGGAATTTCGAAATGAATGCTTTATATCGCCCACCGGGGCAGATTGTTTTAGTCCAACGTCTCTTCCGGATGTTTCAGTTATCTTCCTTTAACTTAACTTTCCAAGTTTTTGTTTACCACTACAATAGTCAGGTATTGAACTCATAACTCTTTGAGCCAAGTCACTGAATCCAACCAACGCTTTTTATTTACTGGGCCATGTCTCCTAGAGTTAAAGGGAGATAACTGAGATATTCTGAAGCGGTATGACACGTGAAACTAAAACAATTTACCCCGATAGACGAAATAAAATGTTCAGTTCGAAATTCAACGACCGAATAGGAATAAAAATGTAGACAACAGTCCAAACAATGTAAGCAATGAAAATTACAATATCTTGTCACAGAATTATAGACAATTGTTCAATCCTATAAAAATATCATATTTTAAAATATTTCCCTTACTTTATCATGCGAAATGAATGTTTTTTTTTCACTGTAAGTATGTGATTCGGGCTGTAATTTGTCCAACGGAGTATATTACCAAAATTATTTTCATTCATTTTCCACGCAAAAGAGGTTTTTCGTTTTGTGCTTTGGAAGTTCGAGTTGAAATATGTGCAACATAATATACAGGCTGACCCCAAAAAACGGGAACTTTTTAACAATCCAATAAAACCAAGAATGATCGAAGAAAAATATTTTATTCATAGTAATTGAAACCTTAAAATATGCCATTTAAGAAACAATGATAGAATTTTCATTTTTTAAAAATTACATCCTGTAGATGGCGTCCTCCTGTATGAATGCATTCTTGAAATCTGCTGTTGAGATTCCTCATTGACTGCTGCAACATCTCAGCTGGGATACTGTGAATTTCATCTTGAATTCTAAATGGCGAAATGTCTACTTGCTCAAGGTCACTGTCTCTCAGGGTTGCCACTTGCTCATGTCTGGCAATATGCACTTAAAAAAATCCCGTTTTGGGGGGTCAGCCTGTATATTCAAAGATTAGATTGTGATTTAATGTCCTTCTAATACATTGTACCTTCTGTACGCAATTAAAACCTGGATTCTTTCTGATTTTTTTTTTTTTTTGGTGGGCGAGAACGATATCAGAATAATCCAGAACTTATGCCGCATACAGAAAGGAAATGAATTCAGCAAATACACAAAAATAGAAAGAGTGCCTCATTAGACATATTCAACCATTACAGCGAGGCGAACTTGCGAGAACCAAAAGTCTTACCATGTTTTAGCATTTTCGGAGGCAACCTTATCAACACAAGATACGCAGATAACACAGTGTTGATTGCAGACACGGAAAGAAAGCTACAGGACCTCCTAGAGAAGTTTAGTAAAGAAAAGTAAGAAGTAAGGACTAAGTTTCAATTGTAAAAAGATGGAAGATATGGTTGACAGCAAGAGGAACGTCCCAGTTTGAAAAGTGCAAGTCATACACGGAAAAATCAAGCAAGTATGAAAATTTAAATATCTGGAAAGTATTTTAAAAGAGGATGGGAAAATGTCATATTGAAACCGAAGGCGCTTTGGAAGAGTGAAAGATGCTTTCCAAAAGATAAACAAGTATAAAGGAACACTAAAATTTCATTACAAAAGAAAACAGTGCTAAACGAAGCAGTTCAGTCTTTATATATGGCACTGAATGCTGGGCAATTTCGTCACAAATGAAGAAGAGACTTGTGGTAACAGATGTGTGCTTCCACAGAAGGTTGCTGAGGATGCCATTGGTTGAACGTATCAGTAATGATAATGATTTAAGGAAAATGGGCACAAAAAGGATGCTTAACTTAGAATCGCAAAATGCTGTTGAAATATCTGGAACAAATAGTGAAAAAAGAAGGATTGGAGAAGTTGATACTCACAGGGCAGGCAAGAAGGACTGGAGAAGTTGATACTCACAGGGCAAGCAAGAGTGAGAGTAGAAAAGAACGAGTAACCTACCTAAGACGATTGTGTAAATCGATCGGCAAACGAGGACTGGGAGTAATTTTACTAAAAGCTTCAAAAGGTAGGAAGTTGCGGAGAGCCATCAACTCCTACGTCCTGAAGAGACACGGCATAGAGTGGGATTGGAAAATAACAAGTAGCCTACCTAAGGCGGTTGTGTAAATCGATCCTCAAACAGGGACTGGGAGTAATTTTACAAAGAGCTAAAAAGGATAGGAATCTGTGGAGAAGTATGAACTCCTACGTCCTGAAGGGACACGGCATAAAGTGGGAGGGGAAAAGAACGAGTAACCTACCTAAGGTGATTGTGTAAATCGATCGTCAGACAAGGACTGGGAGTAATTTTACTAAGAGCTACAAAGGATAGGAAGTTGCGGAGAGTCATGAACTCATACGTCCTGAAGGACACGGCATATAGAAAAATGTCTCTTTAATATTCTTGTTTAATTTTCGAGTTTGAAAACTGTCCTTTCGAAATGACTATATTAAAATCTTATCGCGATAGCAAGAAATATCTTTTTCATTCAGGGAATCTTATCTGAAATTCACTCAAGAGATATTCTTCAAATTCAATGAATATTTGCAATTATCTAACTTCAATGTTTTTAATGCTACGTACTTTCTAGCTAGTCCGTCGGAATTTTGATTAGTTTTTAATATCAACTGAGATAAAAATTTACTCTGATTCTAGATTTATCCGCCATATTTGACTGATGAATGTTTGGTGAATAGACCAGACGAAACGTTATAATAAACACTAATAAAAAATTACCGTATTTGCCGACCTACCGGATGTGGATTTTTTTCAGAAAAAAATGCACCAAAAAATTACCCTGCTTTCAATACAACAGCATTATGTATGAGAAGGGTTTGAAGACCCCGAAAAATATGGGTTTCACCACGAACCGGTAAACGCATAGAACTCTGAAATATGGACTCCTGGAAGTGAACAACAATGATATCAATAAAAATATCCCTGAAAAATTTACCCAGGAAAAAGAAATTTATGGAATTGCACAATATTTTGATGCTTGTTTTGTAGAAATACCAGATTTTACAGAAATATTTGCTTTCACTAGAATATTGTGGCTTGTTTTGTATACTTTTGTTGGTATACGCGTATTGGAATTTGCTTTTCTGCATGTATTATAAGGGACTCATTTACCAAGAAGCTCCATATTTATTTATTTTTGCTTCTTAACATATATACCAGTGTTCGCTGATACAAGTACATTTCTTTGTAGCTATAACGAATCTAATGTATGTTGCTTCCTGAAAAACAAAACAATTTTCCGTAAAATGTTGAAATGTATTAAAATTCTTCTTTTTCAAAATATTTCTTGGTAATTAAATCGTGCCCCACTTCTATTTAAAAAGTACCGGAAGTATAATTTATGCTAATACATTAAAAACGGGTGATGAAGACATTAGGTTTATAATACCCAAAAATTCATGCCTCAAGAACACATGGCACAGTGGATAAAGGCGTTGGTTAGATCCAGTGACAGGACCCAAAGAGTGTGAGTTCAATACCCGGTTAAGTAAGCGAAATAAAAGGTTCAGTTCGAAATTCCAACCACCTGAAGAAGGCCGGAGCGTACAACGGCCGAAACGTTGTGATAAATATGGCGACAAAGATGAGGACAATACTTCGAATAATGTAAATAATGTACATAATACCTTATCTCAGAAATATAGACAGACTCTAATACAGTAATTGTTTCTTCATAGTGATATGTGCATTTTTTGGTTGTTATGTGTGCATTTTTCCTCAAAATTCCTGGGTTTGTCCAATGCGTAGGTGCGTCCAATAGGCCGGCAAATACATTTCCTGAAAAACTTTAATTTCTTTCAGAATAACCTAGTAAAATATGAAGTTGTTATCTGTAACGTTTAGCATAATTGGCACAAAGAAACAAATATGGGACACCTAGTGTTCTTCGAATTCACTAATCTGTAGTCTGTTCAACCTAACTAGCTTGTTAAGTATTACACCATAGCGATACACTGTGCTTAAAATAGTAATCTTAGATTAATTTGAGCACAACGCCACAAATATGAGGCAGCTGGTGTAAATCGAACTCGCTAGTCAGTACCAATGGTCAACCAGACTAGATCGTTAACCATTACCTTGCGCCCAAGCACATATTATTTGCTAAACTTAGCTTAGGTTGAGCACAAAGATAAGGCAACAATGAAGATAGAACTCGCTGCTCACGATTAATAATCGACCAGATTAGCTCGTTAAACATTACCAAGATGTTTATTGTTATTCGCTTAGTTTGAATACAAATCAGAAAGTATAAAGGAATTATTGAAGCTCAACCTCACTATTAATGGTCAACCAGAGTAGCTCCTTAACCATTACCCTATACCAAGATGTCTATTGATACTTGTTAGCTTACTTTGGGTACAAAGCCACTAGTAAAGACACACACTGAGGATCGAACTAACTACTCAGTATTAATTGCCAACCTGACTAGCTCGTTAACCATTACTCAACGCTACAGACACCAATTTTCTAAGCTTATTTTAGTTTGGCCCAGGGTCAGAAATATAGTTTGTTAATGATAAACCAGACGTAGCTCGTTAACTTTTACACTAAATAAACTTAAAATATTTTGGTACAAGGCTAACAGTGTGAGGCACCGGTAAGGATCGATCTGAGTACCCACTAG